CTCACACTTTTCGACTCGGATAGAGCTCGAGGCGCCGTTTTAGCGGACGCCGTGCAAGGGGCGTGTCGCACGTGTGCTGCGCTGCACGCTCAGCGCCGTTTGCACGGCGCGCAGCGCCCTTGGGGCGGTGAGAAGGCGCCGGACGGTGTTCACGGCTCGAGGTGTGAAGAGGCGCCGTTCACACTTTGTGCTATGAATAGGGCTCGGCTCGCCGACTCGTGAGACGGCCTTCACCGTGCGTGTGCAGCGTGTGCTCCTCTGCACGCCGTGCTCTCTTTGCGGCGCGCAGCGCCGCTAGAGCGGTTTGGCGGCGAAAAAATGACTTAGCGGTTTCGAGGTGTGAAATGACGGTTCTCACACTTTTCGACCCGGATAGGGCTCGAGGCGCCGTTTTATCAGACGCCGTGCGAGGGGCGTGTCGCGCGTGTGCTGCGCTACACGCTCGGCGCTGTTAGTACGGCGCGGAGCGCCCTTGGGGCGGTGAGAAGGCGCCGGACGGCGTTCACGGTGTCGAGGTGTGAAGAGACGCCGTTCACACTTTCTGCTATGAACAGGGCTCGGCTCGCCGGCTCACGAGACGGCCCTCGCGGTGCGCATCGTCTGCTCCTGTTCACGCGCCGCGCTCTCAATGCGGCGCGCAGCGCCGCTAGAGCGGCGTGGCGGCGGAAAAATGACTTAGCGGCTTCGAGGTGTGAAGAGACGGTTCTTATACTTTGTTGTTAAATTCTCACACTTTTCACACTACGAATGCCCCAGAAGCCATAAATAAATAAATACAACGGACACGCCAAACGAGGGGTGGGAGAAGGACAGGGTCCCCACCTGCACGAGCAGGATCTTGTAAGGACGATCAGGGACACAGGGGAACGGGAGTGGAGCCACGGGCAGTGCGAAAACGCGCGTGTTTTCTTCCCAGACCGGGCGGACGGGCAGACTCTCAGCTTCGCTCGCGGCAGCGCTTCTGCCTGCTCTTGCCCCTCTCGCCGCGATGCCACGATGCAGCGAGCCCACTAGATGCACCCTCCCGGCGCGGCACGGCGCCGGGCCGCTCGTCGGCGCGGTCTGATTGCCGCCGCGGCTCTCGTCGCGCCGCTTCGTCTCCGCCGCCGTCTCGGCGGCCGCGCGGGCTGAGCTGGGAAGGTTCCGCTCTGGAACTTATTTACGTGGGCACCGCACCGCCTCGCCTCGCGCCTCGCGCGGCCAACTCTCCACCCGCGGCGGCTGGCCGGCGCCACACGTACCTCCGCATCTCGCTCACCGAGCGCTGCTCGCTGCGCTGCACGTACTGCATGCCCGCGGACGGCGTGTCGCTCACGGACGCGCGGCGGCTCCTCTCGGCGGAGGAGCTGCTCCGCCTCGCCGCCCTCTTCGTCCGCGCCGGAGTCGACAAGATCCGCCTACAGTGTGGGGATGTTGCTCCTAGGTGTGGGGAGGTCTGAGGACTTGTGGGGGAGGTGTGGGGAGTTGTGGGGAGGTGTGGGGAGGTGTGGGGAGGTGTGGGGAGGTGTGGGGAGGTGTGGGGAGGTGTGGGGAGGTGTGGGGAGGTGTGGGGAGAAGTGCCGCGCGCGCTGCACCGAGCGCGCGCTGCAGCTCGGAGGGCGACCCGCCGTCGCACGAGAGGAGCATGCGCGCGACGGCGAGGAGGGAGGGCGCCGCCAGCTGCGCGGGCCGCTTGCCTGTGCATCACTCACTTGAGAATTGAGTCTCAACTCAGAGAGGGCGCCGCCAGCCCGGCGGGCACGCTTGCCGATGAGTGCGCGCAAGCAGAGGGACGCGTGGTAGCAGAGGGACCGCTCCGTGCAGCGGATCAGGCCCGCCACGGCGCGAAGGTGCCCCTCCTGCGCCGCGCGCGCGTCCTGCGCGCTGCGCGGCGACCCTCGCGGCGAGGCAGAGGGCGGCGTGGCGGCGGCGGCGGCTGGGGTGGAGGCTGCGGGGGCGGCCTCGGCGACGGGGACGTCTGGCCAGACGTGAGGCAAGCAGAGGAGCGCCGCGGAGAGCACCTCACGCTCCGCCGCCGAAGAAGGCTCGCCGACAGCGGCGGAGAAAGCGGCTCCCCCGGGGGAGAGTGCCGACGCGGCGGTGGGGGCGGCGGCGGCGGCGGCGGCGGCGGCGGCGGCGGCGAGGGGCGGGAGGACGAGGGGCCAGAGGGCTTCGCGGTGCGCTTCGACGAGGGGCGGGCAGGACTCGGACACCTTCATGAACGATCTAGGTGGTTACTAATGAGCTATTCATTAGCCGTCGAGGGGCGAGCAGGGCTCGCAACACCT